ATTCTTGGGGCGCCTGGGTGGCTCAGTGGGTTAAAGCCTCTGCCTTCGGCTCAGGTCATGGTCCCAAGGTCCTGGGATCAAGCTCCCTTGCTCAGCAGGGAGCCTACTTCTCCCTCTGCTTGTGCTCTCCGTCAAATAAATAAATAAAATATTTTAAAAAAAAAGAATATCTATTCTTCATTTTTACAAAATTCAATCTACTTATCTGTTGAAGACATTGAGTCATTTGTACTCCTAACTTTCCCACTTTCTGGATTTGGCTGCTTGCTAACTTAAGGTATGTGTTCTTCTGATGATGGTTTTCCATCACGCATATTTCTTGTAAAGTGGCAATAAAATCTAGAGTCTTGAATACAATGCAATACAAATCTTTTCCCAGAAATACATCATGGGTGGTGCTAAGACACTCCCTATTGCCTCCCTTCAGAGGACACCCGATCCTTTCATCTGAGGGTTTTAGCATCCACAGATGATCATTCCCTAGGTTTATCATTTCATTAGGAATGACATACGCTTTTGTTTTTATTTAGTTGGTTGGGTGTTTGGGGTTTTTTTTTTGTTTGTTTGCTTGTTTTTGTTTTTAGTAAGCACTATGCCCAATGATGTGGGGCTTGAACACATGACCCTGAGATCAAGGGTTGTATGCTCCACTGACTGAGCTAGTCAAGTACCTCTGCTAAATAACTTTTAAAATGTTATCAATCCTTGACATTCCTGGGTGGTTCAGTCGGTTAAGTGTCTGCCTATGGCTCAGGTCATGATCCCAGAGTGCTGGGATCAAGTCCCACATCAGGCTCCTTACTCACTGGGGAGCCTACTTCTCCCTCTGCCTGCTGCTCCCCATGCTGGTGTTCTCTAATAAATAAAGTCTTAAAAAAAATAAATTTTATCAATCCTTCCATGTTTATTAGCTCAAATTTATCTAAAGAAATCAATTATTTGGGGCGCCTGGGTGGCTCGGTCATTAAGCATCTGCCTTCGGCTCCGGTCATGGTCCCAGGATCCTGGGATCCAGTCCTGCATTGGGCTCCTTGCTTGGCAGGAAGCCTACTTCTCCCTCTCCCACTGCTTGTGTTCCCTCTCTTGCTGTCTCTCTCTCTCTCTCTCTGTCAAATAAATAAATAAATTAAATTAAATTAAAAAAAAGAAAGAAATCAATCATTTGTCTATTATATCAGATTTTTCTCACAGTAGTCTAATGCTATGTTACAATGTCTATGTCATTCACCTCACCTCATGTCACCTCACTTTATCATCTGATATCATCATCAGAAGGATGAGTGTAGTACAGTAAGATATTTTCAGGGAGGTAGACAGAGAGACCACAATGACATAATTTTCATTATGTTACTTTGTTATAATTGTTCTAATTTACTATCAGTTATTGCTGTTAATCTCTTACTGTATCTAAATTATAGATTGATTTATCAGAGATATATATGTATGTATGTTTGTGTGTGTGTGTGTGTGTGTATATATATATATATAGGACAAAACATATATATATATATATAAACACATATATATATAAACATATATAAGGTTTGGTACTATCCAGGGTTTCAGGTAACCACTAGAGGTCTTGCAATGAATACCCACCGCCCCAGCTGCCCCACATAAGGGGGGACCACTATAAAAATAGGAACTTCTGAAGTCGCATGGCTACAATTGAACTAACTTATCAGTAACACTGGGGAAGGGCAGAGGAAGTATGAAAGCATTAACAAGGGATGGAGAATAAAAATAAGGGACTGGGTCCTAGTAAAGGTCAAGATTCACTTTGGGGGCTGGGAAAAAGACAAAAACTCAGGTTGCCCCTCCCCACCCAGAACACAGCTGCAGCTGTAGAGCAGAGAGCACAGAGCTTCAACTCATTTTTCTCTGCTCTTATTCAAGTACAGCAAGCGTCTCGAGAGAGATTTCTTTACAATTTTTTTTCTTTTCTTTCTTTCTTTTTCTTTTTTCTTTTCTTTTTTTTTTTTTTTTACAATTTCTTTCCAACAACTCTAACACTTGTGTTCATTTCTGCATCATCAGGATGCAGCAGAGTGCCCAGCAGATAGTGCATGCTCTCTGAAAATGTTAACTGAAGAGACGGCTGATGGAGTGTGCAGGTACTATGGCCAAAGAGTTGTTTCAGGTCGCATTCACTCACTAGTTGACTCATGAGTGACTAGTTTGGCAACTCGCCTAACCTAACTCATCTAACCACGCCGAGATCAACTTCTCCATTAATAAAACAGGAGTACTACTACCCTCCTTTATCTCGCTGGCTCAGGAGGCTTTACATGATGGGTAGCCTGTAACACTACACACGTGTTGAGTTTGGGTACAGCTGTTGACCAGCATGGATGGTGAGATGGAAAGAACCCTGGACTCACGAATCCTAAGAGCCAGGCTGTTGTGCAAGTTCACCGGCGGTTTTCCCATCTTAATTAAGCATGAAAGGGTTTAGGCTCGATGACGGTCCAGGCCCTACATTCTAACTATTTGTAAGTCCGCTACAGGCTCGGAACCTCAGGTATCCTTAAAAAGGTGAACCTCGGGGATCCGCATGCAACCTCGGGGAACAGGGACAGTGAAGGTCGCGGGGTCCGCTCACCCAGTCAAAGTCACACGGGTTGCCGTCTTCGCGTTGCGTGGGGAGACTGTTGCAGAGAGGGGGTAGCTTCCTCACGAGTAGGAATGCAACAGAAAGCAGGGCTGACAAAAGATAGTAAGGTCGGGCCAGCCATCGTGAAAGTCGTGGCACCGAATACACCAGAGCAATTAAAGGTGCCAGGACCGCCATCTTCCCGGCCTTTGCGGTGCCCGCCCAGCTTCGGCGTCTGTAGGTCTGGTCCCGCCTCTCCCACCATTGAGACTTCCATTGGGTCTAGTCTCGGATGCTCCGCCTCTGCGCCCGGAACTAGATCTCTGATTGGACATTGCAGAACGTAGGGGGATTTGACACCTTATTGGTCGATCTAGCTGTCGCTTTCTCTAGTTAAGTCATTTTATTGGATACGCGACCGTGGCGATCGGAGACTATAGAGAAAACTTTAGTAAGTTTAGAAAGCACTTCCTGAACGTTCTCATAAAGCGACGGAAGTAGTTGCCAGAAAAAGGTAGGCTGGGTACCCAATGATAAGCGGCTCCTAGAGGAAGAGGGCGGAACATCGTGAAAGGATTGTCCAATGAAAACGACCGCCGCCAGACACCGGGACCGCGCCGGGGTGGAGAAGATCATGGAGAATTTCTCGGCACTGTTCGGAGCTCAGGCTGACCCACCACCACCCCCAACCGCACTCGGCTTCGGACCGGGAAAACCTCCACCTCCTCCTCCCCCTCCTCCGGGCGGGGGCCCCGGCACGGCCCCGCCGCCCACCGCGACCGCGGCCCCTCCCGGCGCTGACAAGTCGGCGGCTGGTTGTGGTCCCTTCTACCTTATGCGGGAACTTCCAGGTGAGTACTAGGCCTGGCCGAAGACAGCCAATCAGATCATTGCGAGGAGGTGATGGGCGTGGCTCTCAGCCCGCCGGGGTAGGTGTGAGGGAGCCTAGGCAACGCGTGTCGGGACCTTGGAGTTCCAAGTCTGAGCGGCTTTGAGGTTTCACCGCCAGAGGGACGGCATGAATTTTTGGCCTGGATTGGGAAGGGGAGAGAATGTATTTCCATAACCATGTTTCGCACCGTATTTGGCTCTGTCCCTCATACTGGTTTATTTTCCTAAAAATTTTCCAGAGCTTGAGTTTGGAATTAGGGAGGCCCGATTTAACATCCTTGCAGATCTTAAGGTTTTTCAGATCTGTCACAAACATGCTCTTGGTTTGAGACACGTTGCCCTCCTTCTAAGGGCCTCTGTGTTTCTTCAGCTTTCGGAAGGAGGGGTTGGAATCGAACCCAAAAATTGTTTTTTTGAGTACCTTCTGGGCACCAAGCACTGTGTTCTAAATACTTAAGATACAGCTGTGGGTAGGGCTGACAAGATCTTTGCCTGTTTTGGAGTTTACATGTCAGAGGAGGCGGCACAGAGCACACCAGATAACATCAGATAGTGGTTAGTGCTACAAGGAGAAAATGTGATAAAGAATTGAGGCAGAACTGCTTCAGCTAGAGTGATCAAAGAAGCCATCTCTGAGTAGATAATATTGGAGCGTCAGTGTGAAGAGCCAGTCCTGTGTGAGTGGGAGAGATAAGATGCAAGAAATGAGGTCAGAAGCCGTGTTGTGAGGGAAAAGCTTGGAAAATCTGAGGGTCAGAATACCATTCGGATTCCAGTGAAGTTTCAAGGGAAAGAGTGGTAGGAGATGAAGGGGGGAGGAGTAAGCAGAGGCCTTTGTAAAGCGTTTAGATTTTAAGTTCAGGAGCCATTTTATTATTTATTATTTATTTTTAGTAATCTCTGTAGGAAAGTGGGTCTTAAACGCACCATCTGAGATCAAGAGTTGCATGCTGTGCTGCCTGGGCCAGCGAGGCACCCCTCAGGGGGAGCCATTTTAACACAGGAAAGTGACATGATCTGATTCACTTACTTGTAATTATCCAAACAGCTACATTAAGAATGGAAGGTGGGGAAATCAGAAGTTACTGCTTAGTAGTCCCCGAAAAAGATGATGGTTTGGACTAGGCAGTAGCAGTGGAGGAGAGAAGCGAACTGATGCAGGATAAACGTTAGGGACAGAGATTACAGGAGTGAAGGACTGAATAAAGAAGCAGAAAGGAACTGAAAATACTTGTAAATTCTTGGATTGAATAGTTGGGTGGATGGTAGTACTGAGACCAAGAAGGAACAAGTTTGAGGGGGTGGAAATCAAGAGTCGTTTTGGACATGTTAAATCTCCGGGTTGGGTTTCAATTCCTCCCAAGTCCTACTGCTACATCAGGAATTGAGGGAAATAATAATGCATACTGATACAGTGCTTTGAAGTTCACAGTGCTTATAGTTGAAAAAAACTGAAGTTATGGTTGATGTCTCCTAGCAGTTTATCTTTCTGTTCTGATTGTACCTATTTATGTCAAGCAGTTGACAGATACCGAGTATGTCTTGGACAAATGCTGGTTTTATGTAGGAAGGACGGTGTGTGGTGAGAAGGGGAGAGAACTGTTAAGTCTAGTCCTTGCTTTTAAGGAGCTTATTTGACTTAGGGATATAAAGTATGTGGTTTAAGGGTAGTGGCTGTATTTCTTGTTAAGGCTAATCTCATTTCTTCATGGTCATGCCTCATATACAACTGTTACGAACTACATGATGGAGACCCCTGGCTTGCTCAGTATGTGGAACATGCGACTCTCGATCTTGGGGTTGTGAGTTCCAGCCCTGCATTGGGGGTAAATGTTTATACTGGTTTTTTGTTTTTGTTTTTTTAAGATTTTATTTATTTGACAGAGATCACAAGTAGGCAGAGAGGCAGGCAGAGAGAGGAGGAAGAAAGCTCCCTGCTGAGCAGAGAGCCCAATGTGGGGCTCGATCCCAGGACCCTGGGATCATGACCTGAGCCAAAGGCAGAGGCTTTAACCCACTGAGCCACCCAGGTGCCCCTAAATGTTTATACTCTCAAAAAAAAAAAAAAAAAAAGGATCTACATACTGTTGTTTTTTTTTTTCGAAAGTGTTCCTTGTTATCCAAGATGACAGAAAAAGTTGTCACTTGAGCCAGACCTTTAAAATTTCAAATTGAAGAAAATGTGGAAGAATTGTCTTATAATTACATCAGCTTTCCTAAAACAAACTTCCTAAAAGGAAATGAGATGAGAAGTATGTTTCTCAGGAGATAATGGAGACTTATTTAGATGGACTAGAAACGTGACACAGGGGAATAATGGTAGATCAGCCCCCAAAGCTAAGTTACAGTAAGATGTGTTTTACTGTGAGTGCCAAAGGAATTTGAGCATTTTCCTGAGGATAATGGGAAACGACTGAGATTTTTGAACCGAAGAGTATTGTTTCTAAAGAATCTGCAGAATATGGGTACCATGTACTGAAATAGAGAAGCCATGAGGGAGGTGGGGAAGATTTGGAGGTTAAAAAAAAAAATGAATCTGCAAGGAATTGACTAAGAGGAAGTTGGAAATGTGAGACTGGTTCTTAGGAGGCTGGGGAGAGAGGTTTATAAATTATTTTCATGGAATTGATAGTCAAAACAGGAAGTTGGAGGGACTCATAAAGTGTTAGAGAAAAGCAGGAGTGCCTTCTCACCTGAGCCTTGAGGATGACTCCCTAGAAGAGGATAGCTGACAGAGGGGGAAAAAGGCAGGGTGCTAGAATGACAGGAGGCAGTTCCTAGTTATGAGGAGCAGTACTGTGGCACCGAGTGTTCTGCTGCTACAGTCGACCATGCTTCGGAAATGTTTGACACAAGAAAGAAAAAAGGGAAGGGTAGGGTAAGGCCTTGGGGTATGGAGAGAAAACACCTTGCTCACTTAACTGAGCACCGACGGTGTGCACTGTGTTGGGCAGCGGAGATACATGTATGAAGAAGAAAGAGATTGTCTCAGCCCCCAGGGGACTCAGATCAGAACCTGGGTTTTTCCAGGTGAATGATTATGAATAAGCACTTTGTCATTATTTGCATTCTTCGAGTTCATCCTAACTGTAGCTGAAATTGTAGGCTAGCTAGCTCCATCCTTGGCCACTAGATCCTTATTATTAACAAGCTTCTATTTGAAAAAAGCCATGTGGTATTTGTACTGATAGTGCCTGGCATCTATACAGTACTTTATACTTCCCAGTATTTTCATTTGAACCTTGAAAAAAACCTGTGTGCTTAAGATAGCTGTTACCCCACTGCAGAGATAAGAGGAAACTGAGGCATAGAGCACCTCTAGGATGACTTCCAGCTGCCCAGATGCTAATGGGACATATCTTTCTTTGAGGCAGAGCATTATACTTGGGTTTATGAGTAATAGAGATGGTGGTAACAAGTTAGTCAGCAGTACCTAAAAAAATCCCATTTCCTATGTAAAGGTAGTAAGGGTTTCTTGCTAGTTTAAAAAAAAAAAAAAAAAAAAAAAGTCCTTGACCAGACACTCAAGCCATTGGGTCATATTTGGCTCTTACATTGCTGGTAGCTGAGCTTTGAGGTAATACCCTGCTGTGTCAGAGAGTGTAATCAATCATTAGTATATTATATGAAAAGCACTCAGAACAGTGTTCAGCACAGAGTTAGCATCATGTAAGTGATTATTGTGGGGAGTCTAAGTTGGGGAGAGTGTCTGTTTCTTTGGGATGGTTTCCATCTCTGCCCTCTTTTGGTGTTTGCGGATTTTTCTCCTTGTTGCAACTTACCATACTATATGTATTTTTAGTGTTCATTATTTATAATTTTGCTGTTTCTTTAAAAAATAAATTTAAGTCTTTGTAATTCTCACTTAAAAGATTATTTAGTCTAAAATATAGTCCTTCACTTTCCCTCTGGGTGACTTAAAAATTCTCTCCTGTTGGGACTAGTATTTTTTTGTTCTTCTCCCTGTGTCCTCTAGGTAGCACCGAGCTGACAGGCAGCACCAATCTGATCACACACTACAACCTGGAACATTCCTATAATAAATTCTGTGGGAAGAAGGTGAAGGAGAAGCTAAGTAACTTCCTGCCTGACCTGCCAGGGATGATTGATCTGCCTGGTTCCCATGATAACAGCAGCCTCCGCTCCCTCATAGAGAAACCCCCTATTCTTGGTGGTTCTTTTAATCCTATCACAGGGACTATGCTGGCTGGCTTCCGCCTCCACACTGGCCCGGTGAGTCCCCTCTCCGGGAGGAAGAAGGCAAATGGGGAGGCCTGAAAGGCGTGGAGGTGGTTTTTTTGTCCAGGTCTGTTCCTTTATAATGTACTGAGCAAAACAGACGGGAGCAGGACATTTCCTCCCTCCACTCACCTGGACCTTCCTTTGGTTCCTTCAGTTACCAGAGCAGTGTCGTCTGATGCATATTCAGCCTCCCAAGAAGAAGAATAAGCACAAGCACAAACAGAGCCGTACCCAGGATCCTGTCCCACCAGGTAAGAAGCACTTCTGGTCAAAGCCAGAAACCCTGGATCTGGTTGGACCTTCCCCAGTTAAAAACCCAGTTAGGTTCCTTACAGAGCCCTGGACTCCCAAATTCTCCTTAAACTGGTATAAAGGTAATTAATGTTTCCTGCAGGTAGGTCTCCTGGGCAAGGAGAAAGTTGGAATGGTGCTTTAGCAGGGACTCCCGATCCTTTCTGGCCTTTAGAAGAGAAGTTGCCCTTGACTAGGTTTTCCTGTGGTCTTGAGTTCCAAGCAGTAGGGAATTTTGAGCTCTACAGTAAGGAATTTTGATAGACACATACCGTCTCCTACAGAAACACCATCTGATTCTGATCACAAGAAGAAGAAAAAGAAAAAAGAGGAGGATCCTGAACGGAAGAGGAAGAAGAAAGAGAAGAAGAAAAAGAAGGTAGGGTAGGGACCTGCTCCTGCAGGCCACTGAGTCTCCCTGACTCACCCTGTCGTCGACGGTCCTTTGCCTCAGGTGGGACCCAAGACTGAAAATCCAGGGCATGTTGCAGTTTTTTCCTGCATAGCGCTGATCAAGGCCAAGGCCACTTCCTAGTTGTTCTCTTACCCCTCTTTCCTTGTCTTCCCCAGAACCGACACAGTCCAGACCATCCAGGCGTGGGTAGCTCTCAGGCCAGCAGCAGCAGCAGCCTCCGCTAACAGGACTCTACTGGGATGGCTATTCCTGCTGGACTGAGCCTGCTGACAAAAGCTGCCCTCCAGCTCGGACACTGCCACGGAAGCATCCCCTGCAACCGGGACAGATGCCAGCTCTGACTGTGCTGGGCTAAGATTAATGCATTATGTGAGAGAAGGGCCATGCTTTTGTAAGGCTCAGCCCAGTTGGCTTTCTCACGGACATCTCTTCCTCTCCCAGGAAGCTTTCCTTTCATCTCTTTTGTGCAATTGGTCTGATTTAGGACATTGATCTGTTAGGGTTTTTCTTTAAAAAAATTTTTTTGCATTTATCAAACTGGCTGAACTGTGGCTGCCTGTTAAGAGGTAAGTACCTTTCCATGTGAGAGTCAGGTTTAAGCCAGGGCACTCAAGAGATCTGAGGAGAATTTGGGTCCTATCATTACATTAATTAGTTGGCAGGGAGACCACCAAAATGAGAGTGGAGAACATGGTACACAAGTGAGGCAGAGCTTGCTAATACCTGTCCACGGCGGATACGTAACACTCTGCCCATCATGGGGAGAACCAAGCACCTGGATGAGGGCCCACCAGAAGAGCCGATCCAGTCAAGGCTTACCTGTCTTCTAGATCAGTTTTCTGTTAAACAATAGCCAACTGAAAAAGCACCCAAAATCACCAGTGTATTTCAGCAAGGTCGATTCCTGGTGAAGCCTGTGATTTTTATTTATTTATTTTTTCTTAAATCTCCGGCAAGCAAAGGTAAATGCTTTTTTCTTATTGGACTCTCTGACCTGCCTCATTCCTTAGTTAAGATACTGAAACTTAGGCTGATAGAAAAACATTTCTAAGCTTCTAAGATAGCCACAAAAAGGCAGCCTAAACTAGCAGAATGTGAGATTCCTTCAGTCTTTACAGCAGGCCAGGTAACTGGAAATGTCCATGAGAAAACCCAAGCTATTATAATCTGACTTTAAATAAATTTGACAGAACAGCTGAAATCTGTTGCTATGAGCCAAGGTTGTTACTCCGTCAGTAGGTGGAAAACCATTCATAGAGCTACAGGTTTAATCTAGCATTTCAGAGTGAGACTGTATATGCTTATGTCATGGACAGTGAAAATAATGGGTTCTGGCCAGTTTCCAGAGATTTTGTGTCTGAGGCAGCCTATTTAAAATTAGGGCATAGCCTTTGCTTTGGACAAACAGAAGAGACACCATGAGCTATCATATTAAAGTGCCAGCCATATCCAGGCAGTCTGCCTCTAACAGGCTTTCATCCCTCCATCATCCATGGTCTCACCTCTGGCTACATCCAAAGAGCTTTACTTCCCAGAGACAAAATTCTCTTATTAACTCTAGCAGTAAAGAGTTCTCTAAGCCTTGAAAAGACAAAGAGCTTAGGTGGTCACAAAAGGAGTCTTCTAGGAATTTTTGCATTAAATCACCAAAATAAAAACAGGACCTGCTGTTTTAAGTGGTTACTTCCACTACAGTCCTGCCTAAAGGTGGGCCAGAAGCTTCTGAGGTTTTCTTTGAGACTTTCCACCAGAGATCATTCACCTTGCCTTAACCAGACAAAATAACACAAGTCAGGGGGAGCTGGTTAGATCAGGATTTCTTTTTATTCCTTGTTGGTTTAAAATGGCTAATCAGAATAAAAAATAAAAGGGCCTCTGTCTAGAGGCTGGGGTCTCCCCTATTTAGAGGTTAGAACCCAGGTACCCCCACTACCCAGCACCATACTGAGGTGGGCTGAGGGGTAACCCCCAAGGGACAATCGGAGGGGCCTAGGCCTGCCACTCCTTCTCTCTATCCCGTTTTTGGCATGTGATGAAAAATATTGCTTTTTGGATTCATCTCTCCCGGCCTTGGATTTAAAAATAATGTTAACCATGTGAGTTGGGGGAAGGCTCTGAGGGGACTAAAGAAGCCCCGCCCTAATCCCTCTCCCCCAAGAAGGGGTGGGGGGGATTATCCAATATTGTTCCTGGAGCTCAGCCAAGCTCTTTTCCTGATCTCCCCACCACCACCAAAGTCATGGGGCTGTGACCCCTTTCCTGGGGAAACTAAGTGCCAGAACCTAGAAAACTAACTCCTCTCCAAGTCCTTCCCTCCTCTGACCAAGACCCCAGACTCGCCTCTCCCAAGGTTTCTTTCCTGATTACTACGCACCAATAGCAGTGGGGTGCGGTTTCCTTAGTTGGTAACTGGGACAAAAGAGAGGGAACCACTGGGAAAAGGAAGACTTCAGTGGATGTCCCCACTTCTTTCCTGCTGGTCTGAGGAGTGGGAAGAGTAAGATACCCCTCCTTCTACATATCCCTCCCTCATTTTCCCATCCCAGGATAGATATATAATTTCTTTGATATTTATAATATATATATATATGTATATATATATATATATATATGTACACACACACCTGGTAACGCAGAGAGGAAAAAAATAGAATCCGTAACAATAATAAAAAAAATTATTTCTGGTTTAAAAATGATCTGGTTCCCTCCAGGGCGAGCAATTGCACAAATGTCCACTGAGTCTGGTCCAGGGGTTAAAGAAGGGAAGGTCTTAAAAGGTGAAGGGGGTTGCTACCCCAGTCTCAGGGCCCCAACTCTCCGACTCCCCACCCCACTGCATTTTATAAAACGCTCCTCATCCTCTTGGAATCGGTGGTTTAAAAAAATGTCCATGCAGGGGAGGGGAGCCCCTTGAGGAAAGGAAGGTGGCCACCTGGGGCCCTTTGGTGTAGGCGCAGAGGCGTGGGGGGAAGGGAGTTGCCGAAGGCTCACACGGATATCTCATAGGTGGTACCACCCACCCCTGACACCTTCTTGACTCCGCCCCTTGTGGGGCTGCTGAGAGGCGGCTGGCCTGGGCCAGGAGAGGCAGAGCCTATACTCTTGGGCTGCCCATTGGATTTGCTGTAGGCGGTCTTGAGCTGTACTTCATCTCTAGGAAGAGAAAAAAAAGAGAGGTGTCAAGAAGCAGGACACAAAACACAGAAAAGGGAGACCGTTTTAAAAGTTATGAGAACTGACGTACTTTTCTATATGCTTTCTTACCCAAACATTTCCACCTATTTTATTGTCCTCTTAAAACATACCTGATGCCCTATCTCCTCTCTTTATTCCTTCCCTCCAACAGCAACTATCTTAAATACTTACTCTCAGGCAAATAAATACATTTCGGGAAGACAGGATTAAGAAAAAAGTATTAATCGTTAGGGTCTTAACAGGAATAGCCCATGAAGGCAGCTAGAGAGTGAAAGGAGCGATCTATAAGCCGGCACCTCTGAGTCCACTTGCACCCAAGTGAAGTCATGACACCTTTGGTAATGCTATGCTAATTTTAAGTCCACTGAAGTTCAGGATGGACTCATACTTACTTGGGTGTCAGTAATGGCTGCAAGGCTACTTCCTCTGCCTCAGAGACACCAGCTGGGGCTTTTTGGCTGCTGTAAGACATAGATCGGCCCAGGTATGGGGCAGTGGGGCCTGGTTCAGGGGACCCTAGTCCCCGGCCTCTTAGCCCATCTGGCTTGCCAAAACGGGGGGCAGCTGGGCGTCCCAGTGGAGTCTTGACCAAGGGTGATCTCTTTGAATCATCTGAGGAGGAACTAGTACGAGGGGCATGGCCTGAGCCCGGTGTTGACTGAATGCCTGAGTCCCCCAAGCCTGGTTCTTCCTCACGGCCCGGGAGTGGGGGTGACTGGCGTAGCAGCTTCTCTCGTTCCTGGAGGGAGGCCACAATATGGCGCGACAGATTGTCGTACCGGACTGGTGAGGGCTCTCGGTGTGTTGGGCCGGTTGGCACCAAACGTGGGTGCCTCTCGGCTTCCCGTTGCTGGGCCAGTCGGGCTGACAGGAAGGGAGAGGTGTAGCCTAAAGGTGGGTCTGGCTCAGGCCCTGCCTGCACTGACTCGAAATCAGGGCTGTCTGAAGGAGTGAGCAGGCTGTCATAAGATAGGCTTCCATTGCGTGTCTGGTTGGCCAGGCTCTTATAGGAGGTGGAGGTTGTGCCCTCTGAACGAATGGACTGCAACTGGCCCAGCTCAAAGCCAGTGCCCTGGGCCGACTTGAGGCTGGAGGAACGTGAGCCACTGGATAGTGGATCAAAGTGAAAGCTTTTCCCAAAGGTGGGAGAACGGAAACTCTCTGGCTCCAAGCTGGGCTCCGAGCGGTAGCTGGGATGGCGGCTGCTTTCTGCAATTGAAGTTGGCTCCTTCAAACTGTCCCCACGACTCAACTGAGGGAGAAAACAAAGCATGCTCTTAGTGTTCCTCCTCTTGTGACAGATGCTAGACCCCAGAGCCCAAGTAGTCATGCCCTGCTAATATGCTTATTACAACTTTTTCTATGCATCCTCTCGTTCAACACCTAGAGCAAACTAGCAAGTTGGAACAAATAATACCTCATTTTAAGATGCAAAAAATGAGGCTTAAAGAGGTTAAATAACTCACCCATGATGGGTTTTGAACTCAGATCTGATGCTGTGATCAGTGCTTTTACTAGTATGCTACACTGCCTCCTCTTTGATGACAGACACACTATCAAGATTCAGTCCCATTAATGTCTTTGGTTTTTTTCCTTCCCTTCTCCAAAATTCTTTTTCCCAGAACAGCTGACACACATCACAACCCTCCTCCTTCCAGAGTGTTCAGTACCTTGGCGCTGGAGGAATGAGGCATGGCGGCCGATGTACTGCTGCTACTGTAGCCCGGCCGGTACTTGTACATGGTAGGTGTGGGAGGGCTGTCCTTGCCCAAGAGGCTGCTATCTGCAGGAAAAAAGGCCCAGGGACAGACTTGACTTTACAAGCCATTCTCTTAACTTGGTCAGAGGTCATTAAAGAACAGAGGGAGAACCAGGTAGGAACGGATACACCAGCCAACAGAAAAGTCTCAGGAACATGATTTGCTTGCAGTAAAGACTACAGACTCATAATGGCCCAGAACTCAAGAGAGAGAATGCACCAAACATGTCTAGGATGTTCTATGATCTATCTGGATGCTGACAGTTCCTTACCCACAAAAGTCCAATTCGCTGCCACTAGCTACGTGGAATTCCCTTTCTCCTCTACTAGCTGCCCAAAGTGGCCAAAGGCCCACCTGATGGGTGTTCTCAGTGACAATGCAAGTATTACCTCCCAGGCCTTGCCTGTATGTCTTCTCCACAGCACATAATGACCTTCTTACTCTTGCCACTATTCTTACCCTCATTAGTAGCCAGGCTGAGGTGTGTTCGTAGCCCTGTGTAACGGCTCAGGTCCGGTTTAGGAGGAGGTGGGGGTTCAGCATCTGCAGACTGGCTCTCTGTTATCTCCAAGCTTCC